CTGCGAGGCAAACAAATCCTGCGTACATGTTGAAAGATTGCTAGAAATGGTCGTGCTGAACTACGACACCATGCTGCATGCGGTTACACATCCGCAAGTTAAAGCATTGACACCCAACTTGCTGTGGAGGAATACCTACCAGCTATAATGGCCTGTCACTAGACTCAAAGATGTGAATCGCAAATCGTTAAATTATCTTCTGTCTGCGCGTTGGTGTTATCATTCAGATTGCCACAAAGAGTCCTAATTTTGACGCTAGCATGTGTGAAAAGGAAATTGTTGTAGAATGATGGATAAGGCTAAGTGAGCAACAGTAAGATTTGCCAGTAGCGACCAGTGGTTAAATAGCTGCAGTTTAACTTTTGAAAATATTGGGATCACTAATGAATTAAAAGAATAGAGTGAAGGGTATGAATAAAAAACCCATTAGTAATACATTAGTGCCCCTACAACACCGCATCTTCTTGACTCACTCAATAGGTAATCAAAACTGAATCAACTAACTACCCACTTACCTTCTCACGTTTCATCCAATTAACTTCACCTCCTGCATGGCAGAGTCAAAATGCCTTCGAGAGAGCCACCTACTTAAGTGATGTCTGCGCTAATGGGCACGGTCGATTCGGTGTACCTGCTAAATCCATATGCTGTGCTAAAGGGAAGAACACTGCATTCTTCCCCACCACTATCATATTCAGATGGACTGATTATAACAAATTTACCGACTAGTTCATTTCCGGTAAACGAGATGCAATCCATCCAATAGGCATGATTTAGACTGAATGGTGTAATAGGTTATCAGACTTGTGGATGAGAGGTGTTTTGAGATGGAACACTGTGTTTTCCCACGCCTTCCAGCCTAATTCATTTTACCTCGTCTGCCAACAATGATCGTGCACAAGTACAAAGGTGAGCATTTAGGTTGAGCTTAAGTTTTATAAGTACAGGAAAGAGAGTAAAAAAGGGACTTGCAGGGCGTACTTAAAGATTTCCTATTTATTATTTCACTCACATGTGTGCTGGACTAGAAATAACCATGAAGATTGTGGTACACGCATTTATTGCCCATCTATCAGCTCGTTGGCACAATCACATTGAGCCAAGTATGTGGCACTCTTTTCACTTCAATTTAAAATTTCGCACACAAGTGTGAATATCTCGTACAAAGCTTTTACTAGTATCGAACCTGGGAATGCCTTTGTGACAAAGGATACAAGTACGCACTTTTGGCCTTTCTGACGAACCTTAAAGCAATGAATACAACCACATGGCTAACGGTTGAGGGG